AACAACAACAACAACAATGATAGTACTTAACTCACAGGGTTGTTGAAATTGAGATACTGCACATAAATTGCTCTGTCCATTTCCTGGCTCCCACAGTGAGCATGCTAGCCACCACTGTCATCATGAGAAGGGAAAGGAAGCAATGACTAAAGGCTAATCTAGTGTGGGTTTGTGGATTATTAGAAGCCAGAGACGTCTAATGGATTCTAGAGGGAGGGAGTGATTAAGATGACAGAACTGAAGAACTAGAACCAGCTTCAATGCAAATGTTCCTTAACTGGTTTTCTTTGATTCTTCTAGAGAGCCATGTCCTGCCACCACAGCCAACTCCTCTGGTTCCGCCACCTCTATATTTTCTTCTCTCGGTACATGAGAATCAATTCACTACACTTTCTCTGAAGCCTTGAAGAATTTTGGGATCCAAGGAATGAAGGAGAAAAGGACCAGAAAACCTGGGATCGGCCTTTATCTCTCTGAGATAGAGAGCACATCTTAGCTGGCCCCTCCCCAAGATCTGCTCTGCTCAAACCCTAATAAGAGGGAAGTATGCAGGCCAGTGGGCTGTCTAAACTACCTCTGGAAAAATAAACACACACAACCCACAAAGGGTGATAATAGCTAATCTGCTAGCTTGTTGAGTTCTTGTGAAGAACAAATTACACGAAGACACAACATATGTCAGACACCTCACACAGAGCCTGGCATGTTAATAAACACTTAAACCCACTGCTGATTCAGACTCATAGCGAGCCTATCGCCTAATGTTGTTAAGTGCTGTTGAGTTGGTTCTGTCTCTTAATGATTCTGTATAGGGTTTCCAAAGAACAGCTGGTGAGTTTGACCACCAACCTTGTGATTAGCAGTCCAGTGCTTATCCTGCAATACCATACCAGTACGCCATCATTTAGTAACAGCTGTTATTATAAATGAATGTAAAAAGTTTCCTGTTCTTACATTATTTTCAATGACTGGGGCTCACTCCTCACTACTCTGTGTTGAATTAGTTCAACCATAATTTTTTTTAACTTTTGCTGTAAATTGGGTGAATGTTTACAGAGTAAATCAGTTTTCCACTCAATAATTTATACTTTTATATGCCATTGATTGCAATCCCCAAAATAATCCTCACTTATCCCAGTTCCTCCCAGTGTTTTCCATTTCTTCATTTTTCCTATCCCTTCCTACCTTCTGAACTCTGCCCTTGGGTAGGCAAGTGCTGCCCTTTTGATTTCAAATATTGGTTATTCTAAGAAATGCAAACCTTCCTAGTGTTCCTGCGCACCTTATAAACCAGCCCCCTGCCTTCAAGTGGATTCCAATCATAGTGACTTTATATAGGCTCTCCAAGACTAAACCTTTACAGGAGCAGACAGCCTCCTCTTTCTCCAACTGAGCAGTTAGTGGGTTTGAACCACCAACCTTGCTGTTAACAGTCCAATGCCTATCACCAGAGCTCCTTTGTTCACCTAATAGACCTCTCTATTGTTTGAACGTGGGTCATAATCTACACAATGGCAGTGGGTCTGACTTGGTATACCCTAAACTCTAGTGCTGTGGCGAGAAGCAGTGGGCCCCATGGTGAAGAGCGCAGGTTCTGTAGACAGGTGATTCTGGGTTTGAGGGGAGAATTGCCAGCAATCTAACAATAAGCAAAGTACTTAGCTTTTTTCTGCCTCAGTTCTCTCATCTGCAAAATGCGTCAATAGTGGTACCAACCTCAGAGGACAGAATGAGATGATGCATGGAGTGTAGCAGAAGGCCCAAGATGCACACAGTACCTGCTCCAGAAATACTTCTGTGCTTATTCTGAAACCTAAACAGTAAACAGACATTAAGCAGAGGTACCAGCATTAACAGCTTTCTTGAGACAAAAAAAGATCTTGGTATGTATTGTCAAGTGAGGATTCCTTCTACCAGCCTCTGCCTGTAAGATCCTAAAGTTGCTTGATTTCTCCATAGCAACAGGTCAGAGACCCTCCTTGTTGTCTCTCTATACAGATGTGCTCTGTTTTGCTAAGAATTATCTAGAATGCTTCCTAGGGGCTGAATAAGACTAACAAAGCTATTGTACCCTGAAACTACAGTAAAAATGCAAATCTGATGATATTATTTGCTACTTAAAATGTTTCAATACATGGAGAGACAGAGCAGCTGAGGACTCTAGACTCATGGAGGGAGAGGGACTGTGTACTGGCGGCTGATGGCAGGCTTGCAGGGTGTGCCCTTTGACTGTTTGAATGATTGTATGTATATTCCTGAGTGTTTTGGTGCACATCCAAAAAAAACCCACAAGGAATAGAAGCAAATGCTGTTGAATGATGAAGCATGCAAGGGATTGTAATCATTGCAATGAAACACATATGATAGGATGAGTGTAAAACTGATGTCCCTCCATGTAAACTATCACTCAACTTACAATAAAAACTTAAAAAAAAAAAATGTGTCAATAGTTTTAATAGCCTTCATAGTAAAGTGTGGCCACTAGCAGGGCTGAAACAAGCTGACTTCTGTGTTGCTACTAGGAAGACCAGACACTGACCCAGCCTTCCTGGAAAGCAGTTCTTAATATATATTAAGAGTTTTTAAAACTCAGACTCTGTGACCTAAGGAAATATTTAGAAATGCAAAGTTAAGTCAAGTGATACTATTATACAAGCGGATTTCCAAAAGTTTGTGGAAAAATGAAATTAAAAGGTTAAAATAAAATATATAAACTTTTTCTCTCAATGTAAGCTTCATCAAGTTCAAGACACTTTTGTAAGCAATGATATCAGCCACTTAGTCTATTCCTAAAGGTCTGAGAGTCCTGGGAATTTAACCATGTCTTTTTTACATTGTTAACCAAAGGAAAAAGATCTTTCAAAATTAGGAAACAAAGAAGTCAGAAAGAGCCAAATAAAGACTGTAAGGTGTTGTTGTTAAATGTCAAGTCGGTTCCAACCCATAGAGACCCTGTATAGGGTTTCTGAGGAGCAACTGGTAAGCTTGAACCACTAACCTTGCAGTTCAAATCTATTTTGCAGTCCAGTACATTAACCCACAGACTGCAAGGTGGATGCCTAATAATTTCCCATCAAAACTTACAAATTGCCTTTGGTGAAAAGAATGAGCAGTAACATTGAGGTGAATGACACTCTGGTGACACTTCCCAGATGTTTTTCTGCTAAAAGTTTTGACTTACTTTCTCAAAACACGTCATAATAAGCAGGTGTTATGTTTCATGACAAGCTATGGATAACAACAAGCTAATCAGCAGGTGTTAGGTTTCATGACAAGCTATGGACAACATTGCGAAGTATGAGTATTCCAGAATACTCATGAGGAATCTACCTGGACCAAGAAGCAGTTGGTCAAACCTAACATGGAAACACTGAATGTTTTAAAATTAAGAAAGGTATGCGACAAGGCTGTATTCTTTCACCATACTTATTCAACCTGTATACTGAGCAAATAATCTGAGAAGCTGGGTTCTTTGAAGAAAAACGTGGCATCAGGATTGGAGGAAGACTCTCATTAACAACCTGCAATATGCAGATGATACAACCTTGCTTGCTGAAAGTGAAGACTTGAAACATTTACTGATGAAGATCAAAGAGCACAGCCATAGGTATGGATTACATCTCAATGTAAAGAAAACAAAAATCCTCACCACTGGACCAATAAACAGCATTCTTATCAACAAAGAAAAGATTGAAGTTGTCAAGGACTTCATTCTTCTTGGATCAACTATCAACACTCATGGAAGCAGCAATCAAGAGATCAAACAACGTATTGCATTAGGCAAATGTGCAGCACAAGACCTTTTTAAAGTGTTGAAGAGCAGAGATGTCAGCTTCAGGACTAAGGTGCGCCTAACCCAAGCCATGGTATTTTCAATAACCTCATATGCATGCGAAAGATGGACAGCGAATAAGGAAGACTATAGAAGAATCGATGCCTTTGAGTTATGGTGTTGGAGGAGGATACTAAAAGTGCCATGGGCTGCCAAAAGAACCAATAGATCTGTTTTGGAAGAAGTGCAGCCAAAGTGCTCCTTAGAGGCTAAATGGCCAAACTTCATCTCATACTTTGGGCATATTGTCAGGAGGGGCCAGTCACTGGAAAAGGATATCATGTTTGGTAAGGTGGAGGATCAGATAAAAAGAGGAAGACCCCCAACAAGATGGATTGGCCAAGTGGCAGCATTGATGGACTCAAGTGGCAACAATTGTGAGTTTGGCCCAGGATCAGGCAGTGTTTCATTCTGCTGTGCATGAGGTCGCTATGGGTCCGTACCAACTTGATGGCACCTAACAACAACAACGTTTCTTTGATCCTCCAGAAAGTCAACATGCAGAATGCGTGAACATCCAAAACACATTGCTATCAGATTTGCTCTTTACCAGACCGTATTTGCTTTCACTGGATGCCCTCTACTTTTTGGTAGCCATTGCTTTGTGCCTCCTCTTCAGGACCATACTGGTAAAATCATGTTTCATCTCCTGTTATAATTCTTCCAAGAAACGCCTCAGGATCTTGATTCCACCTATTTAAAATTTCCAATGAAAGCTCTACTTTTGTTTGTTTCTGACATGGCAGCTATAGTTTTGGTATCCATTGAGCAGAAAGTTTTCTCAACTTGAATTGTCACAATTACATAAACTGAACCACTTGAGATGTCTGTGGTGTTGGGTATTGTTTCTGCTGTGACTCTTCAGTCCTGTTCAATTAGGGTACGAGATTATTTCCTTGAAAATTGATGTGGATTGTCTGCCTCTGTGGGCTTCATCCTCAACATTGTCACATCCCTTTAATTTATGCATTTTTAAACTTATTTCTTTGGTACATTGTCCCTCTAAATTTTGTAAAGGATCAATGATTTCACCATTCCTCCACACAAGCTTCACCATAAATGTGTTTGTTCTTGCTTCAATTTTAGCAGAATTCATGTTGCTCTGATAGGGGCTTTTTAAAAACTAATTTCCTATCCTCTTTAGTGCCTCAAACTAGATCCTTTTCTGACATGTTACAGTAAGTTAGTATGAGTTTACTTTGGTGCAAAAACTGAAATGCATGCATAGGGTTTTTTATTACATGTATTTTCCATGAACATTTTAGAGACCCCTGGCACTGAGTGATAAAGATGTTCAAAATAAATTATATACACACATGAGGGTAAGTTAAAAAGCATTGCTACAGGAGAACAAACAAGATGGCAGAGAGGGTGGAAGTGCAGTGAGGAGCTCCGTCAGCAACAACACAGAATACCTGACCAACCAGGCTCAGGGGATAGTCCCAGAACTCTGAACCACATATAAAGGAATATTTAGAAAGTTAGAAGGTTTACAGCAAGTGCAATTTGTAGCAGAAGCAAGAAATCTAGTGCTTTCTAATCCAAGGCGCGCAGCTGCTTCCTGAGC